CAGAATATCGTCGGAAAAAAGCTCTGACTGTGAAAACGATCAATCAAGAGATTCCAAAGAATTCCTCACATCTAGTAAACTTTGAAAATGGTAACTGATAGCTGAGATTTTAAAGCTGATTATCTAATACTGAAATTTTTTAAGACTCTTTTTAAAAATTGAAAATCCCTTTTTGAGACCATTCTATCAAATAAAAACAGTCCAATGGTTTTATGTAAAAGTCACTTTTATCAAATTATACAAATATTGCTTAAATTTACTTATTTCTTAATACTTTGGCGCATTTAATTACTTAAATATTTATTTCATGAAATATTTGCCGGTATTTATCTTACATTTGATCTTTGCTTTTACCTATTGATTTCATCGGATACTTACCGTTTCGTTTTTAGCAAAAGATGAAAGCGCTGATTGTACAGTTCTATTTTTACTTGCTGCAATCAATTTATGTTGTATTTCTGGTTTTTTCACGCCATCAAAGACAGTTTTTGCAGTATTGAATGCAGCACTAAATTTACCAGTTGTAAAGGTTCCTAAAATTTCATTTATTATTCGTCATATCCGAACAAAAAGCAAATAATGTTAAAAGCGCATAAATATAAAACCTCGACGTCATAATATTAAAATACATATATATTAAAAGACATTAAAAGGATGATAGCATTAAAAGCATAATAATATTAAAAGCACATAAAAAGATGCGATAGCAACGACGGGGTTCTTTTTTTTCAAATAAAAGAATTGAAGAGGATAATTAGTACAGATCAATCTGATTAATGAATAATATAAATGAATCCTTATCCGAGTTTTGCAAAAACGTCACCGTACTTTATCATCTTACAAAAATATTGGCATTTTCTCTCTTCTCATTCTTCAAAGAACAAAAATACTCCCAACATCAGCTATTCATTCAAATTCCAATGAAGAAACATTTTAAACAATTAAAAAATAATTTTTTTCTTTGCTATATACTCTATTTGATCAAAGTAATCTTTATTTAGAAAGTCTAGTTCTTCGGACCCCAAACTGAAAGCAGATATTAAGATGAGATTAGAATTATCACTTACTCTTTTCTTAAACCTACAATTATACTAAAAGAGTACAAAAAAAAAAAGAAAAATCAAAGATATATTACATTGAAAGCATAACCAACAAGAAATACTCTGCAATTATAACAAATAATATGACTGCATCCATAAATTCCTTCTCAATTTTGCATATTATTAGAATTAAATTAATTCATTGTTTCCATTGAACAGCAATTTTATGTTTCCACATCAACAATATATAAAAGCAATAATGATGATTTATCGAAACAAAAGCTATCACTTCCTTAACCTTTCATTTTTTTCATGATATTTCTGTGCTAACAAAAAAAAGAAAGAAATCAATTAATCCATCCAACTGAATAAAAATTTAAAAGATTTTCAACTATACAAACAAAACTTCAACGATTTTCTCGTACAATGCATGATTAAAAAGAACAATTCCAGAAAGAATCACTCATGCATCGGATCATCATCATGCATCGAAGGCATTTTCGGTGAACGCAAGAACGGATTTCCATCTGGTCCAGTATCTTCCCATAATTTAGTTCTTATCCCAGATACTGCTTCATTTTGTAGATCAAAGAGAAGAGGTTCTAAGTATGACTCATTCATTGCTTTTGGCTCGATAATTTCTCCGAAAGTCGGTACTTCTGCTTGCAATAGGCTTATTTCTTCGTTATCCTCTTCAAAGAAAAACTTTTCGGAAACATCGTTAGAAAATTCCGGATCCATAGTCATTAATTGCTCATTATCGTGCTCTACTATTGCTGCTCCATTCGTCAACGTCTTCTGTTCATCTTCTTCCACAGATGCCATCATTTGAGCTTGCTGTTGACGGGTACGTTCTACTGCAGCAGTAGAAATCTTTTTCAGAATACGTTGTTTGTGGAGATCGAACAGAGAAATAGACGGATGGGTACGCAGAACGAAATCTTTCAATGACATAACAGTATTTCGATGCAATAAAGCCAAGCCTTCACGTGCTTTCTCGTAGGAAGGTTCTGGTTCACCAGATATGTCAGTCCGTACATAAGTATGTGGATCAGGAAACGGTGGTAACCAGTCCGGAACATGTGATGGACGTGGACGTGAGCTACCGACGCGAAGTTGTTGCTGGGTATGCGATGCTTGCTGTACACGTGGTGGTGCTATTACTAAGGAACCTTTAGAAGTTGCTTCTTTCAAAAATGATGGTAAATTAGAAACTGCTGTGCCTAAATCTACTAATGCCATAATTGTGTCGGATGGTGTTGAGATAGTACGACCAGCATGTTCGGTCATTTGACGTGTGGTAGCGGCCAGCTCATTAATGTACGAATTAACCATATGTGTGAGTAGCTCGAGGACATCAGCTTCAATCACTTCAAAACCGGCCTGTTTACAGATGGCAGCAACCGACTGACGTAATACACGTCGATATACGTAATTAGCTACTGTTGGCGAATAACTGGTTGATGGCAAAGAATGCATTACTGTGGCTGCAAAGTGCTTCATCATTTGATGCGTGAAAAAACACGGACATTACACGTGATACTTCAACAAAATGATAACAAAATCGGAATGGCATTCAAGAAATGCTTGAAAAGTTAAGAAATTTTATTAAACTGGAAGCTTATTTCTACGGAAAAAAAAAAACTAAATCCCGGAAAATAATATATTTAGATGCTGTACAACAGAATTATATGAACATCTTCAATACACAAACTTAATAATACACAGAACACAAGAAAGTATAATCGGCTTTTTCGAAATTCGGGATAGATCAGCATTTCCTAGTAATCCAAATCTAAACTATACCCACCCAACCATCCACTTAACGATGCTGCAATATGGAAAGGCTTACACGTAGTAATTCTTATAATCATAAGCTTTCAAGAGTTCAGGTCTAAGACGCACTGAAGCGTTGCACAAGGCTGTTATTCTCAAAATATACAGAAAGAAACATTTGGAAGAATCTAACAAAGTACATGACGTGAATAAAGTACTGAAAATCCTACCTACTTATCTAGTTCCTCCTTCGATACCAAGATTCCTGAGGCAGAGGTCTCAACATCCTATATGTTTGCAAGCTCCAGCGTCAGCTACCAGCAAAGGAAATTCCAAAAGAAACCGAAATTAAAAGTACCTGACGGTGATTGAAGGCGAATTGCTGTTGCTGGCGCTGAAGCTTCACTTGCATTACTCCTGCTTTTCCAGGATGGTTTTTCAGATGGAGGAAGCGGTGGCAAAGGCTTATTTGCTGGGAACATCCCTCTAAATAAAGGTAAAAAAGTAATCTTTTTTTTTGTGCAATTCTTGTTATGTACAAATTCTTACACCAGACGAATCGGATTACATAATAGGTTATTTCAGTACAAAGAACTCCTGCTTTACCCAATCTTTTTCATCTATAAAAACAGACAGATTGAAAAGGGAAAAAGATAGTACGAGGATAACTTTTAACTTGTTAGAATTCCATTTATTTAGAACCACAAATTTCACCCTAGACAAACTCTTTCCTGATTTAATATTGATCATCAGCGCATTAGTTAAAGATATTTCTGCGTAAGTGGTAGCCATCCCATGGATGCAACAACAACCGGAAATAAATAACGCAAGATAACCAAATGAGGATTAGAAACTTGTAAATGCAATAATCGATGAAATTCACACCACAAAAAAATCATTTATTCATTGAAAGTCCTGAAGCAAATTCATAAAAACAGTAAGACACTAAGATCTCATGAGATTTCCGACTTGATAGTTTCTTGAAAAAGAATTTCAAAGAGTTGACTAAGATATTCAACTCTTTGAAATAATTTCGGTACCAGTGAAATAACCTTATAACTTGTCAAATTGTATTTCCCAATACAGCAAATGAATAGCACAGATGACAAAAATGAAATATATAAAGTCATAAAAAATGCGACAAAAAAAGGCGCAATTTCGAGGCAATAATTATGATGCACATACATTGACAATTCATGAGCAAAAATAATAAAATTTCTGAGGTATGGAAGAGTGCCAGTACCACCTATATAATTTTAAAACATGCCTAACATACTCTTGAAACCAAATAATAGCAAGAAGAACCTTCGAAATGCAACCCTCTAGTATAACTAATTGACTAACCATCTATTAGCTAGCTAATAAACTGAATTTTTCAGCATAGCAAGATATCTTGCATGCGCATTGATACCGAAAATTATTACATCATGATAATTCGAAAGATATTTACAAGCATCATTAAAAAGCTGAAAATCATTTGAGGCATATATTTCACAAGTGACACAGAGATGCTAGAACAAAGAATGCTGTTTCATTAGTTTAAAAACAACTTGCTAAAAAAGTATTGAAATAGATTACGAGAACCTAAAATAAGTAAATATTCCCTTAGATATCGCCTTATTTTATTTGTTCAGTTTAAATTCGATAATAAACATTACTGTAATATCAATACAACGATTCGTAAATAAGTATATCCATATCTAATATTCCACAACAGCATAAAAAGAGTGGAGATATTCCGTAAAAAATCCACTTTGTTAGTTTTATCAGAAAAAAGTATTTAGAAGGAAAATAACAGCCTAAAAAATAACCTTCACTAAATATAAAATGAATTAATGCAAATGATAAATACCATTTCAGATATTCATAAAAATGCATGCGAATATATGCGTATAGTTACATTTAAATGTACTAAAAAGATTGTGAGTCAGCTTTTCGCACCTTTCGTAATGTTTCCCAATAGAAATCCAAAACTAACTGGAAGAAATTATTTTACTAAACGCGGAACAATCCTTATAAACTCACAAACGACCATTAATTTCAACTTACTTCGCTAATATATAAAATGAAAACCATATTATATTTACATTCTGAATAACTAAGGCATATAAAATTTCAGATAAAAGCACCAGCGCTGCAAACAAATTACTGAAAGATAGGGGAAGTAATCAACTAACCAATGTCATGATCCCTTACCTTTCAGCTTTACAACATATGAAATCAATTAAGAGCAGTAGCTTGCTATTTACATTCCACAATTAATTCACCTTTGTTGGATGAGTTGTAGTATCTGAAAAAAAGATAAACGAAGCTAAAACCATTAAAAAAAAGTACAAATCACTGCTGTGAAGTGTCGTAACGTTATCGTGATAAGATATCAATGTGCATTTGAAAACGAATAAACTTGCAAACAAGTATCTCTGTCCATATTTAATTGCAGTGATCCATAAATTAAATCAATCTTGGGATTCAGATCGGGATCCAAGTAAATGTGAAGTGAACTTAAGAACTAATAGAGAATTCTTCACCTGTCAAATTTCCAAAATAAAAAACTCAACGGAGTGCAAACCAATTCAAAAGTCAGAATTTCACAAATTGTTATAGACAAATTTAATGAAAATAAATCCCTGAAACGTACTCATAACCACACTGGTCAAGCCACTGAACAACAGCTGGTTTAATTTTTGCCTGCTCATCGTTCAGTTTCCCGTAACCAGTTAAAACAACGAGTTTCTTCCCAGACCGCCCACGTCGGAGCTCCGGCGGTCCTAGAAATCTTCAAAGTATTAAAAAAAAAACACAAAAAATGCTTGTTATTGGAGTTACTGAAATTTCCAACTCTTACGCCGCATGTATAAACTGTTCGACTCGTCCTATTTTCAGTTTCTTAAAAACTGGAATTATGCCTATAAATCATGAGCCTTATTTGGTTAACACATGCAGGCTTTCTCGATTCTGCAGAACATAACAAACAAAATTTCAAAATATATACTCTGTCGTTGCTGGAAAGCAGAACTAATTTCACATAATTTAGAAATGAATGACGTTTAATTCTAGAAGACGTAAGTTCCCTCTAAAGATATTAATCCATAAAAAAGAATATGTAGGCTTACTATCTGC